GCTGTGCTGTAGTGCAAAGAAATACAAGCCTATATATAATTCTATGCTCCAGAGTTTAAAAGGCTTTTTCCTTCCAACATTCCAGGTTAATGTATACTTGATCATTCACCTGATGGTCTTGGGAATAATTTTACACAATGTATGTTTACATGAAAGTTATTTCTAGACAGGCAGAGGTATATTGAATTATTTTTTGATAGGTTAAACATGCCTGTAATATTGCTTTGTTGCTCAGTTTCCTTGAATTGTTTGCATATCTTGTAATTCTTGCAGTCTTATTGGAATAGCTTATTCTATATGTTTCATAAAGTAAGAAAAAAACATACTGCTGATTCTAGTACTTTGGTCTGATCAATAGAAAAGATGCAATATGATCCATTCTTCTTTTTGTAAAGAATAGCTTGTTTTACATAACAATCTTGGAAAGCAATATGGAGTTTTGTCCAAAACTGACATAAATCATATTTTTCCATCTGTATGTGGAAACTCTCTGAACTCTAGTGATGTTGATGCTTGGCAAGAAATATCATGTAATTATTTCACTATGTCCTTTAAACTACTACATTTTATTTTGTAAGATGTCTTCACTTTTTCAAACTCACTTTTAAGGGGCACTAACCCATAGTGAAGAAACAAGTAAGAAATTACAGGGTTTCATAGAGAGAGGGTTCACTGAACATATTAAACTAAATTCTTGACCTTAATAGGAGACAGTCACATTGGAGCTTAAGAAAACTAGAACTGAAGCAACAGAACTTACAAGATATATGGCAAAGTAGAATTAGGGAAAAAAGGAGCAGAAGAGTCGTAACAGACTCTTAAATGGAATGATTTTATTGACTACATATTTTACTACCTACATATTCACTGCTTTCAGTAAAAATAAATTTCGTTTGGTTTGACTGAAGAGTTATTAATTTTTTTTAAGAAATGTATTGATATTTTTAACCTAGAATTTCTGACCAAACTTACAATTCCAATCAAGGGATCAGGTTTTCCTGACTATATTTTACACAACACTCAGTATAGATCTGATAATCCTTGTGGTTATTCAACTAATATTGTATATATTCAACTATGTATGTATTTATGTATGTATGCATGTATGTATAAACTCTTAGAGCTCTTTTGTTCTACCTGCTTTTAATAACTTGCTGATCCCTCTGTACTGAGAAAGATAAAGACTTTCTTTACTCCAGCCTAGATCCTCATAATGATATAAAGTTTTCTTGGCCATAATATGGACACATTTTGTTAGAATCTTCTCCGGGATAATTTTTTTTTTAAAAAATTAAAAAGTTACATATTGTAGCTTATTCTCCTGGAATTTATTGGTGCCAACTTAGATTGGCCTAGCTTAATTTTTTGAAATCAGTTAGAGTCACATAAATACTGTACTTCTGTAGCCCCTTCAGGTCCATTATAACCACACAATTCTTGAACCTATCTTTATGAACATGGCTTTTCCTCATTAGAAATTGTTTAAAAACAATGTTTTCTGATTGCGTTTTCATTTATTAAATTCTGATTCTATTGTGTCATTTGAAAGCTGATGCCAGAATATTGTCCAATTGTTTAAATTGGGCTCTGTTCTCTCTGCATGGGGTATTTTATAATCATGCAATTATTGAGCATTCTGTCCTGACGTTTTCATAATTGGACTATTTTTAAATTTTATTTTCCTTTTGCAAATAACATGTGTACATGTGATGATACAAAGCAGAGGTCTAGCTCTATACAATGGAAATATGTTCAAAGTGTTTTATACAGGTTTACATTTAAGTAATTTTATCCAGAAGTTAACACAGAAATTAACTAAGATGATTAAGGGCCTGGAGACAAAAAACATATGACCAATAGTTGCAGGAATTGGCCAGTCTAGAGAAAAGAAGGACTAGGAGTGACATGATAGCAGTATTCCAGTATTTGAGGGGCTGCCAGAAGGCAAGGCAAGAAACAATGGATGGAAACTAATCAAGGAGAGAAGCAACCTAGAACTAAGGAGAAACTTCCTAACAGTGAGGACAATTAACCAATGGAATAGCTTGCCTTCAGAAGTTGTGAGTGCTTCATCACTGCAGATAGAGCCACCTATCTGAAAGGGTATAGGATATCCTGCTTGAGCAGGGGTTATAGAAGACCTTCAAGTCCCTTCCAGCTCTATTCTGATTGATTGATCTTTACATACCACAAAGGAAGCAGTCTATAGGAATTGTATGTCACTGACCAAAAGTGCTAGTCAGTAGTCTGCTACCTTTGAGTCTTCTGCTGAAAATAAGCAGCCAGGAGAAAGTAGCAATTATGATAATAAGCAGTCTATCTGACTGGCCAACAGCCTTCCTCCCTGAGCTACCCTTGATGCTCAGTCTAAGACCTGGGATTGCTACCCTTGATACTCAGTCTAAGGCCTGGGATTGCAGTAGTCAGTCTTTTGTTTGAAGAATTCCTTTATTCATACTGAAATAATTCAGGAGATTTGTGTAACTAGTTCCAAGATGTTGTTTTAAGATTCAGATACAATGAACACACAATTAGGGCAAATACTAGAAAAAATATTTTGTATTTTAAACTAATTCTTGCAGAATAAGTGCAATATAAAGAGAATATTCTTACATGCTGGCTAGGAACTCCCAGATATTATAGTAGGTGGATTAATGGGCCCTCTGTGCATGTGGCCTTCTTCTGGGACCTTGGTTTACACTGAAACTTATTGTCTAAAAATTTTTTTAGAGATGTATACACTTCTATAATTGCATTGTAGATATCATTCTTGTTAGGGACCAGACTATACTCACAAAAGTAATTCAGTTAGCAATAGCAGAAGCACTTAGACTAATATATTACTTGATAGTGCTTTACAGCACTCTCTAAGCACATTGCCCCCAACAATCTGGGTTCTCGGAAAGATGGAAGGCTGAGTCAACCTAGAGCTGATCAGGATCAAATTCCTGGCAGTGGGCAGAATCAGCCTGCAATACTGCATTCTAACCACTACCCTCCCCTGGCTCAATCCTGTCAAAACAAGCTAAGATAGTGTTCCAAGGCAACATCATCCTAACCTGCTTTTTCTATGTGGTTGGTTAGCTAAAGACATTTTAAACATTTTATATTTTATAATTTCTTTGAGAAGAATTGATGCTCTAACAGTAGAGAACTTATAATAAACCTGTCTGTGTCTTCAGAGATCAGTTGTATCATTACAGTACACATGAGGAGCAGTGCTTATGTTATGATACCATGTACATTTTGTCATTTGGATGAAATTTTGACGTATGGCCATCACTGCATATACTTTTGTTTTAACCACATGGAGGGTTGTGTTCTGTTTAGCATCACCTACATTTTCAGTATATGATTTTATCTGCAGATTTTATAAAATGTTGCTAATATAAGGGGTGTGTAAAATCTGCCACTATTGTACATTTTGCAGTAAATGTACTGAAAACAAGCTTTATTTTCAAAGACTATAATCTTTCTTCCCAAATTATCTCAAATTTTCAATGCAGTTTGGGCATTATTTTGGACGGAATTGTACCTGAAAGATTAGCATAGTTCTTTCTGGCATCAGTCTCAGACCTGTTGCAATCCATAATGTGTATATTTGCTGTTCTATTTTTATATTGTAAGGACAATGTTTTTTTTTTCCTTTTGTTTTACAATTCTGCATACTGGGTATAATTGTAGGGTTTCCCGCCTGAACAGAGGGTTGGACTAAAAGACCTCCAAAGGTCCCTTCCAACTCTATTATTCTGTTAATTTTTCATTTTTCTGTTTTAATTGGCTAACATAAAACTATATTTATTGCAAAAAGTTGATGCATTTGTAAATTACAATTGGGTATAATATTGTAGATTTTATAAAGGTGATGAGGTCTGCTGCTCCTAGTAGTGCTACTGAATACTACTAGCCCAACGGTGCAGTGCTGAGCTGAACACAGAGCAAAGTGACATCAAGCCCAGGCAATAATCTGGTTGGGTGAGGGTTCTTTTTTTTTTTTTTTTTTTTTGCAATCAAACAGTTCTAAATTATAGTGAATTTATTTTCTTTATTATTATATGGAACTCCCTGATAAGTGTTTAATTTGATTTTTTATGTTAGATTAGTTTAATTCTAGGGGAAAACATTTAAATGGTTTCCAAGTGTTTGGAATTATAAAGAAAAATGTATTTAATTACAAAGTATGTATTGGATATATTTGCTCTAAAAGAAAGAAAAGCCTTGTACACTACAATGCTAAGTACTTACAAGGGTCTGCAATCTTAGAAATCCATCTCAGGAAAACATAGATTTAAACTTGCCAAAAATATCCAGAAGACATTTAAAAGTTCCAGCTACTTCTTCATTCTGAACATTTGTCTAACACAGTTAACTCCAAAACACGCACTTTGAGGTAAAATTTGCCCTGATGTTTGCCAGCAGTTGCTTTGAGGATCTCCAAAGTTTCATCAATTTTACTCAAGTGCATTAAAATTCTTAAAGTTCTTACATGTAATAATCTGCCTTAAGAAGAAATTGATATTGTATTGCAAAAAGGACAACGAAGAGGGTTTCTGAATTTCTCAGAGCTATCTAGTAGTTATCTAGGGTTTTTTTTTGCAGCCCAGATCTGCTAGTTCTGATTTAATATTAAGTCTAAATCTAAATTTGCTTCTGGTGATTAGGGTTACATCTTGCAACAGATCAACAAATTATTGACCAACATACAACATATCTTGAAAAAAAAGCTGTGCCCTTAACTTAACATTTGCAATAATGTTAAATTAGCCTGTTTCCTTTACATATTCAGATATTTTGAAAAATATCAGTAATTGAAAACATGCAAACAAACAAACAAACTAACATTTTCCAGAATATAAAATCAACTTTTTGGTAATGCATATTGTTTCTTTTCCTTTCAAAGCCTCTCATCTATCTTCTAGTCCAAATTAGAAGAAAATATGTATTCAATTTGAGCAATCATTGTTTTAAAAAAGCAATCTGTAATTTGTAAATAGCCTTACCAACTTCTGTTATGTACATTTTTCCATTAGATGGTAGGGGAATATACTGGTTAGAGAAGAAGCTGCTTCCATACCCCAGGATAAAACCTTCCAGTTTAGTGCTTGGAGTTGGATGGATGTATCTCATGCACACTGCATCATTGGTTACATTGATCTGAACTTTCAGGCTTTGTTTTTTAACTAAATTAGCAAAAGAGAAAGAGAAATGTTATTACAACATAAAATAATTGGCATTGATATTTGCCATAGATTCAGAAGCTCAAATGGAGGACAGAACTATACTGTAGATCAGAGGTTCCCAGCCCCTGGTCCATGGACCAGTACTGGGCCACAGCATGCCAACAACCGGTCTGCACAAACAAGCAGAGCCCCATCCGCAAGATGCAGACAGCACACAAAACCACACAATCTGATCTGCAGAAAAACCTCTCTCCACGGAACCAGTCCTTGGTGCCCAAAATGTTGGGGACCTCTGCTGTAGAGGATTAGGAACAAATAGCATTTCAAGAGATTTTTTGAAATTATTCTATGTAAACAAAATAAGGGCTGATATTAGATAAGATAAGATAAGATGAGATGAGATGAGATGAGATGAGATATGAGATAAGATGAGATGAGATGAGATAAGATAACCTTTACTGTCATTTTTATACTGTGGGCACAATGGCACACATCAAAAATGAAATTTAGTTGCCCTGTCTCAAAGTGAAACACATACATGACACACACCTAAACATACTATGAACAACATATGTATAGACCCACATCCCTACATGTACGTAGCAAATAAATATTAAATATTGAATATATAACAGAAGGAGGAAGCTTGTGAGTTCAGAAGGTTAACACTGTATGGAATGAAACTCTGGCTGAATCTGGATGTTCTGCTTCAGATACCATGAAGCCTCCTCCCAGAAGGTAACAAGGAAAACAGGTCATGAAGAGGATGTGTAGTGTCCCAGATAATCTTATAGACCCTGCTCAAGCAGCGCTTCTGTGCTATGTCCTGAATGGGAGAGAGGAAACTGCCAATGTTGGCTTGTTTTGTTTGCAATGATTCTTTCATAAGTCTTCAAAAATACTCTTATTGTAATTCTTCTCAGTGTGAACTATATACAAGAAAGACTAGGAATAATAAGCCCAGGTTTGAGGTTATATATGCTATTCATTAAACTGAGAAATATTAATTGTGCTGCAATTCAGTCATATGTTGTACCAAATAATATCTATGATTTTCAAAATGTTGACCATCTTATGAAATGCAGCAACTAGGTAGTGTAATATAGTGTCTGCAGAGTCGGTTTTGTGTCAATTGTTTCCACATAGTCAGCATTTTCCTGAATTAGTTTGCAATATATTTATCATACTTATTAGCCATATTTCCTATCACCGAGGTGCTCAAAAACTAAAAGAATTCAGATATGAATTAAAGTGTCAGGAAGTTACAATTAAAGAAAGAAATAGATTATTAGCCAATAAACAGATTACCAGACCAAAAGCTTTCATGATTCAAAATTTGATTGAGAAATTTGGTCATTGTTAGCTGTTGAGATTATTTATCAGTCTAATACAGTGGTTCTCAACCTTTCTAATGCTGTGACCCCATAATACAGTTCCCTATGTTGTGGTGACCCCCAAGTGGGTGTGGCCACCAATAAGAGGGAGTAGGACAGCTAAAAGGGAACAAAATGGTGGACAGCATGGTTTGGCGACCCCCATGAAATGGTCGTTCGACCCCAAATGGGGTCCCGACCCACAGGTTGAGAACCACTGGTTTAATAGATTACACTGTCCAGAGCCACTGTTGTAATTTACAGAAACCTTACCCAATCAGATGTAAACATCCATAAACTATACTGTCACATACACCGCAAGTCATGGAAACCTAAACGCTAATACCAAATAGTAGGTAGCAAATTATTCTTCTGAACAATATTTTTGTCATGAAATACTGTATGTGTAATTTAATCCAGTTGTAAATGTTACTATTAGCCAAAAACACTAAAAGATAATATTGAGCTCACTGAGGATCTGGATTCAACCCAAAATGTATTCGTAAGTTCAGCACTTTGCAATGCATTCTCTTGCTTAAGCACAATATCAACTTTATGAATATATGCTATCATTTAAAAGAACAATGAGACTACTATATGCACTAATAAATATGTTAAGGAAATCCAGTGTTGGTTAGTCCCTGGAGTCAAGACATCTTAATTCCCCTTTTTCATTTTTGGAACACATGAAACATCTTTTGATGTAGAAGTTAAAGTAAGGCCATACCACACCACATATGGCTTTGGTTGTGGGTTTGTTTTTTTGTTTTTTGCTTAGTTTTCAGTTTTTACTTTGTTGAGTTTCTCAAAAATATACCAGGTCTTTTGACTTTTCATGGGTCATGCAAAACCTTAAAATACCAAAAAAAGTGACATTGTTTAAGTCAGTCATTAAATAGAATGAAATGATATGCTAAAGTAACAATTCTGGAATGTTCAATGTTCAGAGAAAAGAAAAGAAATTTCAAAGTAGTATATAAGCTTTTTTTCATAAACAAGCAAGAAAGATAAATATTTTGTTGAGTTCTGGATATTCCCATCCTATGTTTATGTGTTTTTGCTTCTCATAATCAATTGAACCCTTCTTGTTACATTTTTGATGACAACTGAACTGTACAAATAGTATTAAATGTTTTTGTATCTTTCTATCCTTTAAGGTTTCTTTGTAATGGGCATCTCTACGCAGAATGTCATTTTCATGACAAATACCCTTAAGAGCATTGAATGACACATAAGTCATTTTCTGAAAAGTGAAGGTCACTACATTTGGACCAAGTGCTATTTCCAGAGGCAGAAATCCAACTCATGAGTCACTGTAGCCAGATCATTTTGCTCCAGAAAAGGCTGGAACCTAGCCATCAACCTGAGCTGGACAAAAATATTTTTGGCTATTGCTACCACCAGTCCTTCCAGCACGAACAATGAATTTAAGACAAAGCATCAAGTCATAGTAATATTGTCTCAAGGGCAGCAATTCTGTCTTGTTGAAATCAACTTTGTCCTATTTTGTCACATCTATACTTTAACAGTCTCTACACACCAGAAGCATACTTTGATAACTTCCCTTGCTGGTCCCAAGATCATAATACAGAGCCAAATATCAGCATATTGATATTAAACCATAAAATTGCTATGAATACATTAAATAGCAACAGCAGAGAAAAATAAATCTTTGTGGCATATACAGAATGTAAAAATAGTCAACATCCTGCCCTCATCCATCATCATGGATTGGATTTATGTCTTGAGATATCAGAAGAGCCACTGAGGAATGGTTGTTTCTTTCCATATTAATGTGTAGCATGTCAGAATACAATAGGCAATGGCATAAAATGCCAATGAAAGATCTAAAAGGATTGCCGTACTATATCGAGGTTCCTACAAAGGTTATCACTAGAGTGATCAATGGCTTCTCTATCACATGTTGGAAGTGCTATAGGACTGAAAGGAATCTAGTTAATCCACTTCCTATAGGGTCCTTTTGAGTTCCTTTAAGCAAAAGTGCACCATAGCCTTCTTCAAGGCTTCCAGTACTGTCCCTTACCAAAGTGAAACAATGTCCACCTCCCAGTCCTACTATCTCTCTTTATTTCCCCCAATCCTACAAAGAAACCAAGAAGGACATGGATCAAGCCCATATATTTTAAATATATTGATATTAAAAGTCGCACAAGATTCCTGTGAAAGTTGACTAATTTTAATAGTTTAACTCAGAGGAAGGTTTCAAGAACTTTAAAATTAAAATGATATTAGAAAAACAGTATTACAATTTAAATGGTCACAAATCTACTATTTTAAGATCTGGGATAGAATTTTGATGCAATTCTGTCTTGAAAAATCCATCTTGCCACTCCTAAGATAATCCTCAGATATCTAAGAGTAATCAGCTGCTATTAAAGGTTTCTCAGCTAGTTGTTGTGGCATTCCATGAGATCCTATTTTATCCCTCATGATGTTCAACATCTAAATGAACTCACACCCATCCTATTTGTTCCCTAAATCATATTCAGGAAGCCTGCTCTATTGGACAATTTGAAGCTATATGGAAAAACTCTATCTGCTCAACACCAGCTTCAAAATGTGGGAGAGGGTACATTACAAATGTGTAATGCATGAAGTGATAAACATTAAGAAGATAATTCCTGCTATTTATATATTCATTGGGCATTCTAGATTTCAGATACAAAACCAAAAGTTTCACTTATCTAATTACTTTTAAGTTACAAATCCCTTGATCAAGTGATATGAATTGGTATAATTCTAATATTTTGAAGCAATATAATAAGCTATTTTGTTTTTATATAGGAGTTAAGTATCATATAGCTTCATTCTGGAAAAAGATCTAGGTAGTCACTTAAAGATGACACTGACTTGATGGTGTACAGTCAAATAATTGATTTTGCTGAATTGCAGTAAATTGGAATAACATAATTTGCTAGGTTTTAATCACCTTTACACCTGAATAGAAATCAATGGATTATCAACCAGAGAAGACTACTGTTGCCAAGTCACAATATTATAGACACATGAGAAGTCCAACCTTATTGAGTTTAGTGGCATATCTACACGGTTTAATGAAGCCAGATTCACTTCATTAAAAAGAAATTATTGGAGAAAGCTGTGCCTTTCTCATTTCCAGATCTAGCTGTGATTATTTTGCTATCAAAAATAGCAGATCAACAAAAGAAACATCTGCGCTGTTTTTAAATTGCTCAGTCCATCTGTAGAATTCCCATGGTATCTGCTGAAATTAGCAAACTAAGATTCATCTTATACTTAAGGTTTTTTTCTTACCACTTTTTATAATTTTTCCCAAATAATCTCTATTGTATCATGGGAGATGAAGGAAATTGATACCACATGTCAAGATAGTTAACAATAAATCTATTTAAATGACAGGATGATGTAAGATTTTTTAGTTTGAATTAATATTTCAATGTTCTCTGCAGGTTATTTCCTTTTAATGTTAGCAAGTTAAAATTACCTTCATGTTCTGAAGTACATGAATAGTTTCTCAACAGGTTCTGATAGGAAAAATGCACAAGGAAACCAAAAGAAAAAGTCCGTTAGTATTACTTTGCTTATTTAATTGTAAAACTTATTACACGTTGCTTTTGAGTTTGCCAT